CCCAAAGGCCGCCCCCCGGGCCTCTCTTCCGTCCGGCGGCTGCGCCGCTGAAATTGCCCGCCAGTCGCGTGGGACCGGGCCCCCCCCCTCCCTTGGAAAGAAAAATAGAAACACCAACAAAAAAGGACACATCCCCCACGCGCGCGCGCCCCCCCCCCTCCCAGCGGGTGGGACACCCCCGCTCGCGCCATGTGACGGGCCAGATGATGCACGGGAGAAAGTACATATTGCACCATGCGCGCCGGGCTAGAACTTGCCGCGCTTCGAGTCGCTCGCCCCGATGGACGAGGCCCCCTTGCGTTTCCGGAAGAGGCCGCCCGAGCGGCTGGCCGGCGCGGCGCCGGCGTCCCCGGCGCCGGGCCCCGGGGCGGCGGCAGGGGCCGAAACCACGGCCGGGGCCAGGAGCCCGGCCGAGGCCGCGCGCCCGGCCGCCGCCGTGGCCGCCACCTGCCGCAGGGCCGCCTCAATGTCATCCTCCAGGTCGGCCGTGCGCTGGGCGCGCCCGGGGCCGGCCGCCGGCCTGGCCAGGCTCCGGTCCTCGAAGCGGAACCCCCGGGCCGTGGCCGCCGACAGGCCGCCCTCATCGTCGGCCGGCTGCTCCGGGTCGCTGGCGTCCTCGTCGCTGTGGATGGCGGCCCCGGGGCCAGGGCCACGGCCTGGCCGCCGCCGGTCCGACCCGAAGGCGCTGGCCAGCTCCTCCGGGTCCTCGACCACCTGCCAGGCGCCAATCCCGGTGTTCGAGTCGACCGGGGCCCCGGCGGCCGGGCCCGGCCCGGCATCCTCGCCCTCCGGCATGGGCGGCAGCTCGTCGCCGCTGGGCTCGCCCGGCTGGTGGGGCTCGTGCTCCTCGGCCGACGGCGGCGCCAGCTGCCAGAAGTCCGCGTAGCCCGGCCCCTCGGCCGGCGGGCCGCCGGCGTCGGCCCGCTGCCCGCCATAGATGGACGCATGGTACGCCGACGAGGGGGCGGCGGGGTCGTCGCGCGCGCCGGCCATGACGGCCGCCGCGCGCTGCGCTCGCAGGCCGTGCGAGACCGCCTGCGCGGCGGCCGCGCCCCGGTCGCTGGCCAGCTGGCCGAGGGCATTCTGCCGCATCTGGGCCAGCTCCCGGTCCAGCGACCGGGCCTCACGCTCGCCGGCATCCCGCTCCCGGCCGATGTCGGCGATGAAGCGCTCGCGATTGCGCTGGTGCGTCTTGCTGGATTCGTGCGCCTGCCGCTGGGCCCGGTTGTTGGCCACCGACACGCCGCAGAAGCGACACCAAATTTGCCGGTCCACCCGGTACTTGGCCCGGACCAGGTCGCTGGCGCCGGTGTTGAACCTGGCACGTGGCGGGGCAAGGGCGGGGGGGCGAGGGGGAGGAGGGGGCGGAGGGGGGTCGCCGACACCCCGGGAGGAGCGGAAGCCCGAGC